CGCCTGCAAGCGTGAGTGGGGCCGGGTCCCCGTTGGGGACTCCTGGGAGGGGCTTCCCTGCAAGGGTCCAGCTCCAGCCGCAGGGGTGAGCACCTGTCACTGAATCGGGGGTCACAGCCCACGTTCCCCACACAAACCCACGTCCCACACACAAACCCATGTCCCCAAATAAACCCACGTCCCACACACAAACCCATGTCCCCAAATACACCCACGTCCCACACGCGCCCACGTCCCACACAAGCCCATGTTCCCGCTGAAACCCTGCAACGATGAGAATGAGCCTCACGGGGCTGGACGTGGTAGGTGGGACCTGTCGGTGTCCCAGTACCTGGACCGGGTGGGTCGGCCACAGAAACGAGCTGACTGCCACTGAGTGTGGAGGCATGGCATTGAGAGGAAACTGAGCCCCGCCAGTGTGGCTCAGTGGTTGAGCATCGACCTATGAACCAGGAGGTCAGGGTTCGATTCCCAGTCAGGGCAGATGCCTGGGCTGTGGGTTCCATCCCCTGTGGGGGGCGTGCAGGAGGCAGCCGATCCACGATTTTCTCATCACTGATATTTCTATCTCCCTCTCCCTCTCTTTTCCTCTCTGAAATGAACAAAAATATATTTTAAAGAATTGAAAGATAGGGACGGAGGAAGGAAGAGAAGGAAAACTAACAAATATTTGTAAAAATGTTAAAAAAACGAAAAAGCGGAAACCGCACCGTGACCCCGGCAGCCGCACCTAAGGAACCACTGAAGCGTCCTCAGGTCTGCGTCCTCTGCCTCCTCAGTCCCCTCGGACTTCGGGTCTTTGATGTCCGGCAGCTCCGCGTGCAGCCGCCTGATGCCGGAGCTGGTGCCCGTGGCATGGCCGCTCCGTGTGTAAAGGGGGCACTGCCACCTCCTGCAAAGCCGCAGTGCAAGGGCCCCTGCGACGTTTTGTTGGTGTCGCCTTACGCTGAGTGGAGGGCTCCTGGCGGGGCTGCTGTCTGTGGCGTTTCACACACGTCTCCCAGGCCTGCAGGGTCCTCCGGGGACCCTGGTTCCACCCGCAGCCACCGAGGCCCAGGTCGGGTGGGTGGGTGTGTCTGCACCGTCCCTGTCTGAGTGGCGTGGGGTGGAGGGGTGGCCCTGCCATGGGTAATCCCAGCCCGGGGGTCCCCCCTGGTGCCCTGAGGTGCAGCCCGGAGTGACTCCAGCCACGAGACCCAGAACTGGAGGAGCAGGTGGACAATGACCACCTCACTCGCTGGTATTAATCTCCCTTAGATGTGTGCATGGCTCACATGTATGTCCATGTTTCATGTTAGAAGTTGGGGTCTTTATTTAGAAACGTGACGATGTTTGGGGGGCCATACATGTACCCTGGACTCTGGTGTGTCTCGATGAGTCTGTAGTAACAGTGGGTTCCTTCCCCTCTTTGTGCTTAACATTGTAGTTTCCAGAATTTATCCACTACGTTAAGTGAGGACTTACTCTCTAATAATATCCTTACACGGTCACAAACGTGGGTTCATTCCAGAAGTCTGTTTTTAAAAAGTAAGGATCGGGTTCATAATGCAACGTCCAAGAGAACAAAATTCACACACACACACACACACACGCACGCGCGTGCACACACACACACACGTGTGCACAGGGTCTCCTACAAGGTTTCCACCGCAGCCACCCTAACGCTAACCTCACCCTAGAAACAGCCTAACTGCCTGCTCCCTAACAGTGAGGATCACACCGGCTTGGTGCTTGAACTGTGAGCACCGAGGACCGACGCAGCTCTGGTTGTGGGGGATGGGGGGGGCATGAGGGCGTCTCATTTTCCAAGAATCGGTGTCCACCTGCTTCCCCGTGACTCAGGCCCTAGCCCGGCTCCCTGGGGGCATTGAGAGAAATAGGGGAACCGTGTCTTACACGCGTGTTCCCTCAGCGGAAGGGCATGTTCCTCTTCACATGAACCTGTGCCCTCGGGTCAGGGACTTCCTCCTCCTGGCGGTCTCGCTGCAGGTCTCCCGAGCACGAGCCACGGGCCCTGCATGCATCGCCCACGTGAGACCACCACGTGACAGTGGGGATAGAGACACCGACTAATACGTCCTGGCACTGGCTTTCCCAGTGAGAGGGCTGGGAAGGAAGGTCTCTCCTCGGAAAAGCGGGCACGATCCGGCCGGGAGGGGAGAGGGGTG